TTCACTCAAAATATGAAACACTTATCGATTGTGAAGACAAACAAGACTTTCACTCATTATCTCAACCTTTGGATCAAATGAATGGCCAGACATACGGATCAGATGGACATCACGTGAAGAGATCACTAAATGGTGGAAAATTGAGACCAAAAAGAGAGAACACATTAGAAGTGTTTGAATTAAATGATGACAACAACGAAGACATGAGTGAAGACTCGGATCAAATGATAAATCCTGACTTTCAGACATTATCTCAACCATTGGATCAAATGAATGACAAGACATATGATTCAGATGAACATCACGTGAAAAGATCATCAAATGGCAAATTTTGTAGTAAAAAAGGTTTAAAAGGTTTTCAAAAAATAAAGCCTAAAAAAAGAAAACAATTGAAAACGAATTCAAAGAAATCGATGTCTAAAACGAGAGACAAAACACAAGAAATGAGGGAAACTATCGATGATTTGAATGAAGACTTAGAGAAAAGAGATCCAAACGAATCGGTGGCTAAATCTAGACCTCGAAGAAGTATAACACAAACAAATGTGAAAAACAGTAACTTTTCTGATTTGAGTCATACATCAGATGAAAGTCCTGACGAAGAATCGTCTGATGATATGTACGAAGAGATTAGCGATGCATTAGTTGATAGCGATTCTGACATTTCTGACGGTGACGTCAAAAAGATAAGAGTAAAAGACATACCAAAGGATCAAATTGTGGTAAAATGTGTAGAAAGCGATCCATTGATTGAATCATTGAAAACAAATGCATCGCAAAGAAAGAAATACTTTGATTTCACGACACAGACCTACAAATGTCCGGCAAATGAATGCAACAAAAGTTTGTCAACTGATCGCAGTTTTGCTAATCACTTGACTCGCATTCACACGAATAAACTCTATAAATGTGTTTATATGGGATGTGACCGAGAATTCAATAGTTTGGCGGATATGTCCAGTCATACAGCCATTCATTTTGATAATAAGATGTATAAATGCCAACACAAGGGCTGCAATTATCAAACCATTAGGAAAAAGCTATTGAAATCACATAAATTGTCTCATTTAAGCGCTTGCTTTCAACGTAAACGGTTTGCGTGTGATTTCGACGGCTGTAATAAGTCTTATACCCAGCGGTCTTATCTGCTAAATCACCAGAAGCTACACAGGAGTGGACCCGTCTATAAGTGCGGTACCGATGGCTGCGATGAGAAGTTTGGTAATAAATGGCAGCGTTTGAAGCATCAAATAGCGGTTCACAATCGGCAACCCAGACGTGTTTACACACAGGCGTGCGATTGGCCCGGATGTGAGTGGACGGGACATGATATCAACCGTCATAAGACTCTGCATACGGGAGAGCGACCGCACAAGTGTTTGTGGCCCGACTGCGACCGACGGTTCAGAAGTAGTACTAAATTAAAGTATCACATGAATGTCCACAACAACTATAAGCCATTTGAGTGCCATTGGCCCGGATGTGACTACAAGGCCACCAATGCTGACAATCTATCAAATCATAAGAAAAATAACCATAAAATATAATGATTTGTTAATAATTATAACATTTTGTAAGCGCTTTGGAGTAGTTTTTCTGCATTAAATGATAACACATTGTATGCATAATAATACAACTTTTTTTACTCCTAATAATGATTTGTATTTAAATAAATTAAATGCAAATAAATATTTATAACATTTAGTAATAAATCGTTTAATTTATAAAGAATTCAACAATACTTTGATTATTAAATATTAATATGATTTACTAATTATTGTTTTAAACGTTTAGTTCATAACGAATTCAACAAAACTTTGAAATTCAATTCAAACTGTATTTCATTCATACTATTATAGCATTGAATACTGTATTAATTGAATGAAACATTGAATGCATTGAAAGAGTGGTTAGTTTTGCACTCAAACGACAATCTCTTCACTTCTCACGAGTTATCAATTGGTTATACTTTTGGCACAAAATTGTTGTTTAGTTTTGCACTCAATTTGAGACACAATTTAGACGACATTTATTTGAATTGTGATTTTGTTTTGTTTGCCAATAATTTGACGTTTAATTGATTGATTTATTGAGACAATCATTGGACTGAAGACATGAACCACATCTACGGCACACTGTATTTGGGATCCATTGCGGCCACAAAAGACAGACAAGTACTCAGAGATCGCGGCATTCGTGGGATACTGACGGTTATGGACGAGCCGTTGGCGACCAAAGACCAGTACATTGAGATCACGTATCACTTCTTTAAGGCCGAAGACTTCACCGATGAGGACCTGTTGACCCGCTTCGTGGAGGCGTACGATATAATCAACACATTCATGCGGGCGAAGACTGGAGTACTGGTCCACTGCAGGGCCGGTATCTCGCGGTCGGCGACTATCGTTATCTCGTATCTGATGCGCGAACTCCACAAGACTTTCAAAGAATCCATGGCTTTCGTCCGCACCAGACGTCCGATTATCAGTCCCAACGAAGGCTTTCAGCGCCAGTTATCTCTATACGAGTGGATGGGCTGCCGATTGGACGCAAACAACCGTCGATTCAGACAATACTTGATGACAACATATGAACCACTCGATGGAAACGGTGTACGGCTATACTTCGCCCGATTGTCTTATGTGGAGGAATTGACCGCAAACCTCGAGTTGGGGCCGAAGTATGTGTGCAAAGAGTGCGGCCAAATGCTGTTCCACGAGATACATGTCCTCCAAACCGGTTACTGGACGGGCCAACCGTGCGGTCGACTCTTTGTTGAACCGCAGCCCTGGATGCAAGAGCTGCCGACGGGATCCGTTGAGTATCTGAAAGACATGGATATAAAGTGTCGCAAAAAGTGCAAGAAATTTGTGGTCAGAGTGTCGACTATACACAAAAAGACGAGATGTGATTGCATTGATCACAAGGACTTAAATGTCCTTCACTTTCAAGTGATCCCAAATATGACCACAAAAATAGTAAATTAAATGAATCATAAATAGCTTACGTTTGTATGGTTAGGATATTTGTCCACAATTTGCTGGACAATTGTCTTCACAATTGCCGCCATTTTCTTAAACAAATTGAGAACCGATTGATTGTATTTTCATAGCATTTGTATTTAGAAAACAATTTTTAGTCTCAAATATATAGACTTTTTTCAAATTTTAAAACTCAATTGATTTGTAATAAAAATTAAATAAAAACTTATATAAAACTTGAGTTTAAAAAAAGAAATTTTGATTTAAAAGACTTATTTAAGACTTAAGCTTTGAATTACTTACGAAACCACAGATATGTCGGGTTATATCGAGTCTGCGGTGACATTCTTAGGCCACGAGACGGTGACTGAGTTCGTGGGCACCGGTCTGTACTTCAATGCCACTCATTTCGTCACTTACCATAACCTGAGACGC